GGCCTGCAAGCCCACGCTTGGCCATTTCCCTGTCACGCAGGCCCTTGGCAAGGCCATGGGCTTCTTTGCTCGTCCACGCTGTTCCGGGGGCTCCTGGGGCTTGGGGTCCTCGCCTGGCTGCGGCTGCCCAGGCCTCTGAGCAAGGAGACATTCCATGCGCCTGTACACCCGCCTCGTTCCCAAACTCGTGTTTAAAACACGCATGTCCTGGGCCTGCCCAGCCACCTGTCTCAGGTGTTGCTGGATAGCTGTTTCTCAATCTTCATAATCTTACTTGTATGGGCTTTATTCAGAAACGGTGACTTGCGTGATTGGGAAACGATATAACCTTCTAACCTGGGCTGGTTTTTCTCAATGCTGGGGATTTCAGACCAGCCATCTCAAGTCAAAAAACGGGCATATAATTAGTATTCTGTGTTCCTATTAAAATTACAGAACAGACTCTCTTTTCTAAAATGGCCAATGCCATGGCACAGATGTACTTCCTCAGCAGATGTATCCTCATAAAGGCTGCAGAGCTGCTAATGAGATGCAGTGGGAAAGAATTCTTTCTGCATCCCTGGTAGGACTTCGGGCCCATGTGGGCAGACTCTGGGAGCACAGTTGGTGCTTCTGCAACGAAATGAGCAAGAGAACGTGTTGTTTCTTTACTGCTTGTTTAGAGACTTTCTACCTTTCGGAACTTGAGTTGGCATGCTCGGTTTTTTAATCTCTGTGGTTTATTTATTAAAGTAGCATGTTATTTTTCTGCCCTGGTTCTGTGTGTCAAAACAACGCGGTTCTCGTAGAAAGTGACAGACGAGAGAGGGGCTGTGGGGCCGGTGCCAGGCCTGTTCTTCTTGGACCTGGTGCTGCTCTTTGACTGTGGAAGATTCCGTGTCCTCAACCTCAGAACTGGCAACCCCTCCAAGTGTGCGTCCCGCATGTGGAATGAGGCCACTGGTGGGTGTGGCTTCTGGTAGCACTTGAGAGTATTTCTGAAGGTGCTGAGCAGACATTAAAAAACATTAAATGACATGATGTGAAAGTTATTCTTTCTTCAGTTTTCCTTCAGTGTTGGTTGTAACAGCACAGAAAGTGTCTATCTAGGGCTAGAATGTTCTTACACTCAAACACGGGGTCATTTCCCCTTTGTACAAAGCTAAGAGAGAGCAGGTCTCAGGCAACTGCATCCAACTAGAAGTAGATAACATAGATTTTTATCATATTTGTTTTTATGGTTACTTTCAATTTGTGGCACACAATCTGGGTTTTCCATTTGCTATAGTGATACATTTCCTTTTAAAATGTGGAATGTTAGCCGGTTTAAAGAAAAATGTGAAACATAGCCAAAGTCCTCAAATGATGTCAGTGATGTTAGTCCAGGACCACACTTTGAGAATGCTGCTGGGTGCATTGAACAGTGCCTGGCCCTGGCTTCGTGTCGGTCTCACATGGGGAAGTTTAAAAGACCCTGATGCCGGACTCAACCCAGACCAAGCAAATCTGATTCTCCAAGGGTGGGGCCTGGGCATCTGTATTTGACCAGAACATCTCGGGTGTTTCCAGTGTGTGGCTCCACCGGCCCACCTCTGCTAGGGAGGCATCCCCACCCTCTGACCCCGCTCTCGGCTGCATCTCTCCCTCGTCTCTCCCCCTACTTCTCGCCCACTTTCCCTGTTGATTTCCCTCTTCTTTTTGTCTTCCATAGCTTCCCCTCTGGCAGCCTCCTTACAGCGATCCCTGTTAAGTAATACACTCCAGCATAGCTTCTGAGCTTAAGTAATACACTCCAGCATAGCTTCTGAGCTTAAGACACGGCCGAAGCCACTCAGTTGCCACCATGTTAGAAATGTTCCACATTGTACTGTTGTTCACTGCGTTTGCTTGCCAGTTCACAAGCTGTGGCTGAAGTTTCTGAACGTGTGAGCCCTTTTGGTTTTGCTCTCCACCAGCAACTGGCATTAACAACAGTAATAGTCATTACTGTATGCCTGTCATTGTTCTAAACAATGTTCACGTGTGAGCCTACAAAATCCTGACATAGGAGGGAGGTACAGTCTTCCAGATAAGGAACCTGAGGCGCAGGGAGCTGAAATGTCTTACCTGCAGCCATGAAGTGACTGATCCCAGAGCCCACACACTGAGCAGATGAGACTCCTGATTGGTTGCTCACCATCCTGATTCAGGTGTCCTGCACATGATAAATCACATATCACATAGGCTGTTCTCCGCTGCAGTCAGAAATTGAAAGTTGAATCCACTCTCTGCTTCAGTGACATCTGGAATGATGACATTTCTTTTTAACTTAAATGATAGTGTCTCAGTAGGAAGCCCACAGCTTTAAATCTCATCAAGACCGTACCTCATCACCATTCAGAAGAGATCAGCTTTAAATGATTTTGTATATGTTGGCTGTCAAGCCTATAAATTGAAGATGTAAAAGCCAGCACCCACATCATTTGCAGCTGGCAAGAGGCGAATCAGGAGGTCTTGGTAACCTTGATAAGGGTCTTCATTAACTTTTCTGGGGTGTGGGCTTCTGCAGCCTCCAAGGTTAGACATTCTGGGGCATTTTCTGCATTTTAGAAAACATCTGATTCTCATCCTGCTATTTCATTGGAGGCAGACTGTTGGCCTTTCCATTCCTCATGGGAGAGCTCCATTTTTATGCTTAATTTTTTCCTCTTTTGGAACACTCAGGTTTGATGTTTTAGGAGGCTAGACCTTCTGCACTGCATTGAAACCTTCTAGGCCAAGCTTGGTGGCTCAGCCTGTAATCCCAGCACTTTGGGAGGTTGAGGTGAGTGGATTGCCTGAGCCTCTGGGTTCGAGACCCACCTGGACAACTTGGCGAGACCTTGTCTCTCTACAATTAAAAAAAAAAATTAGCCAGGTGTGGTAGCATGTGCCTGTAGTCCTGGCTACTTGGAAGGCTGAGGTGGAACGATCCCTGGAACCCAACAGGTCAATACTGGGGTGGCTGTGAGCATGCCACCGCACTTTAGCCTAGGCAATGGAGTGAGGCTCCAACTCAGAAGAAAAGAAAAAGAAACCTTCTACATGAGGTTGGTGAGCTCTCAGGTGACTAAGCTGGGATCCCTGGCCTCACTGAAGGCTTTAAAATGGCATGTGGTGGAGGTGAGCCTGAAACACCACACCTGGGTGTCATGAGCACTCATGTAGTAGAGTCTCTTTTCTCCCCTCATTTTCCAAGCACCAACAATTTAAGGTATTTTATATACATTATTTAATTCACCCCATAACTCTGTACCACTGGGATCATGCCAGTGTTCGTTCTTCTAGACAAAGAAACCCAGGCTTGGGGTCTTACACTTCCCAGGGCTTGGGGTCACATGGTGCAAGAGGCAGATGGGAGGCAAATCTGCTGAGCTCTGAACCCAGGCCTGCTGGTTCTGTCTGTGTTCCATCTCTTTCCTCGCTGGGTGAGGCTAGATGCTGGCTGATGGGAAGAGACGTTAGGAAGGCACAGAGGGCATACGAGGAACACGTGCTCAGCTTCTCCATGGCTGGCAGACCTGAGCAGCCTGCGCCCCTCAGACTGTCTGAGGTCCCATCTGTCACCTTCCTATGCCAGCGCTGCCCGGGAGGGAGAATGCACGGCTGTTGACGGCAGGAGCTAGCACACCCTGGGTCCAAGATGAGTCAGGGCAGTGGCTGTCTAACTTCTGATTCTAGGGCAAATCACTTCAAGTCTTTAGCCCTCCCCTTCCTTCTCTCCCTGCCCACCGCCAACTCCAGCACATTCTTCTAAACCTCTTCTATCATTTTTAATTTGAGGTGCTGCTAATCTGTGCTGACCGGCTCGTCCATGGTTCTCCAACTTGGGTGAACATCAGAATCACCTGGGGGCTTGGTCAACACAGAGCACTGGACCCCACCTCGGAGGTGTGACTCAGTGTGTGGGGACCACATTATGGGACCCACTGATTTGGGAGCCTGGTCCCAGTTAGATGTGTGTTGGTGGCGTCTGACCAGCTAGGGACCCCAATCATGGAGACAGTCAGCCATATTGGGGAAAATGCCATGGAAGAGAGTGAGGAAGACACTTGGGAGGCAGGCTGTGCCTCTTCTCATGGTGATGATAGTTTATGACCTGCTCCACTGATGGGCAGTGGCTTCAGACAGCCACTCCCACGGTCATATGGCTCTCCAGCTGCATCTCTGAGCGTGCCTTCCTCTGTGCATGACACGGCCTCTCCTGCAAATTAGTTTTGATGCCCGGGTCCGTGCTTCTCCAGCTAGAATGTGCACTGGAATCTGCTGCAAGTGTTGTTGAAGTGAGGCTTCTCAGCTGCCGGTCATTCTGAGGTAGGGCTGGGGCCTACATGTCCAGTGAGCTCCCGGGTGAGGGAGTCGCTGCTGCCCCCGGCCTGCACACAGGGGCAGTTCTGAACTGCAGCTGAATCTACCGGTAGCTCTCACCCCTGCGGCAAGTAGGATCACCTGGGAGCTCTTAACACCAAGGTTGAGCCATGTCCCTTTGGTATTCTAGTTTAAATTCTGGGCCTGGGGATTGTTACCTCTTTCTCCACAAGTGGCTCCAGTGTCCAACCAGGGGTAGAAACCGCTGGCCTTTGCAAGGCAGTAACACCTTCCAGGCACTCGTGCACACGCAGCATCGTGGACCAGATGGGTGGCATGCACCGTGTCTCCTGGAGGGTGGGATCACCTGGGAATCTTGTCGTACCGCAGATTCTGCTTCCACAGGTTTGGGGCACAACCCAGATTTCTGCCTTTTTAAGAGGTGCCTGGATGTCGCTGGCGTGGCCGGTCCAGGCAGGTGCCGCGTCTCCGGGCTCCCCTACAGGCCCACACGATGCCCCTGTCTCCACCAGGGATGGTAATGGGAAGCTTTTCTCTTGTGGAGTGTCAGAGGTGCTGTCTCCCCTCAAACAGTGTCGTGGTGTTTCTTCTGTTCAGCTTGCTGTTGACACAGTACCCTGGGAAGTATAGGTCAGTTCTCTCTTGCTAACATTTCCTTCCTTCTCTCTTCACAGTTCGAGATGCAAAAAACCTGATCCCGATGGATCCAAATGGACTTTCGGATCCTTATGTGAAGCTGAAACTTATTCCTGATCCCAAGAATGAAAGCAAACAGAAGACCAAAACCATTCGCTCCACACTGAATCCCCAGTGGAATGAATCCTTCACGTTGTAAGTGGTCTCTTCTCGATGGCGCCTCATTCCTGCACGCCGTGTAGCTGTCCACTTCGTTATCCGAGCTCATGACCAGGCATCATCATGAATGGTTTCCAGCACATCTTCCTTTGTGAGCCCTCCTCAAGTTGCTTTCAGGGAGGTGTCACCGGTTTGCTGGATAGTGACTTGGTTTACCCAGAGTTGCACGATGCAAGCCCCGAACTCTTATCATGGTTTATTCTGTACAAAAAGTCCTGACTGTGGTACCAAAGAGGGTGTTGAAATGTCTGAGTTGTATCCACCTCTTGATGGACTTAGGTTTTCAGACAGTGTATATTTTGGAATTTTGGGTCAGACTCTGTTGCACCTACACAACTCTGACATTCTAGTGCCAGAGCAGCCATAGACAATATGTAAATGGATGGCCATGGCTGTCTGCTCGTAAAACTTTATGTATAAGAACGAGCAATGGACCAACCTTGAACAGGGATCAGTTTGCTGACCCCCGGCGTAGAGCTTTGGCTGCCAGCATACGTGATGGGTGTTTTATTAAATGGTTTGTGCAGAAAGAGAACTGAACATCCTGTTTCTCCCTCTCAGGCCCAGATCATGAGCATGTCTTCTCCTCCAAGAGACCATGATCAAGATAACCTAGTGTGTGCGTATGTGTGTGTGTTTTGCAGCAAACTAAAACCTTCAGACAAAGACCGACGGCTGTCTGTAGAAGTCTGGGACTGGGATCGGACAACAAGGAATGACTTCATGGGTTCCCTTTCCTTTGGCGTCTCAGAGCTAATGAAGATGCCCGCCAGTGGATGGTAAGGAAGCCCCGAGGCTGACTATGTCTCAACGCACTTACCACTCAGAGATTCGGGTGTACGTCCCGGAAATGTCTGAGGAATGTCTAATTCGCCAGAGGATGCATTTCCCGAAACAGCTTGACTAGAGGTTGCGGGAGAGGACTGCTGAGCTTGTGTTGCAGACACAGTGCCCTTAACTCTCCTCTCCCCCGTGTCTTTGAAAGGTACAAGTTGCTCAACCAAGAAGAAGGTGAGTACTACAATGTGCCCATTCCAGAAGGGGATGAAGAAGGCAACGCGGAGCTCAGGCAGAAATTCGAGGTGAGGGTGCCACCCCAGTTGCTGGAAACCTCTTTCCCAAAGAAACATGACTCCAAGAAGCATGACCACGTTTTGGTGGTTATGCTGTCGAAAGGAAAGAAGTAATTTAAGGATTGACAGTGTTTCTCTTTATTTCAAAAACATCAATTGGTGATCCCTGCCCTTTGCAAGCTGTTGACATTCTGTGTCGACTATCATTCAGGAAATGGACGTTGAGAATGCCCCAGGAACAAGAGCAAGGTTGACTTCTGCATAAGAGGTTGGTTTGCCTGTCACTGGGGAGATAAGCCAGGTTCAGGGTGCAGGCTCTTCCTTACTCAGCAGGGCTTCACTCCCCCCAGGGAGGAGGCCCTTTGGCCTTTCCTCGGGCTGTCGTTTGGGTTTTTCCTACAGAAAGCACAAGACTCCCCCTGTTTTGAGAGACCCACTGAAGTGAATCTTCCTTTGTGTTTTCGGTTCCTTTTTATTTTTGCTGCAGATGTTTAGTGAAGGCTGCCCCTCCTCTCCTTCCTGTCTGGCTTCTGTGTTTGCCCCTGTCCTGGATTCCTGGCTCTTCTTGCCTCCTTCTTTCCCCACCGTTTCTCTCCTTCTTCTCTCTCGCCTCTTCTCCTCTGCACTCGGCAGACGTCTCAGCTTTTAGGGAGCATTCTTTCCTCTACGCGCCCGCCGGATGTTCCAAGTCACAGCTGCTTTTGATGTTTTTCTGCTTCTCCAACCACCCTGCATGTCGACTGTTGGAGGGATCCCCACAGCGGCCTCTTCAGGCTACGTAGCTGGCCCGTGTGCACCTTTCCCTTCTTCAGACTCATTGGAGTCCCTTAGCGTTTCCCACCCTCAAGAGACACGTGTGGGCACAGACGCTGGGCGTGGCTGGAGTGTCGACACGAATGGTCTGCTGTGGTCTCGTTTTCCTTCTTCGTTGTTCCCAAGGAGACATCAAGGCCATGTCCAGACGGAGCGAATTCCAGAGGACATAAAGCATAGAATTGTTCAAGTTACTCTGTTATACTAAGGTCTGCTTGAAGTGGATGTTGGTGCAGGTACTTAACAGCAGTTGCTGACATTGGATGCCCTTGGGAGGAGAGAGAAGTGAAGTGAGTCACAGAGAGTCTACTAAGTGGCAACTAGCAGCAGGCCTCTGGGTGGTGAGGCAGCAGGAGGCTGTGGGGACTGGGGTGAACTGGTCAGCTCTGCGCTGTCTGGAGTGGATAGCTACTGCTGCTCAGTGCCGTGGACTCTTGCCATGCGTGTATTTGGACCCTGTGCTGCCAGATCCTTGTTCTTCAAGAGAAGCCAAACATTCAGGTTTCAGTCTGACATACTGAGATTTCTTTTAATGTTGGCAGAGTTCCAGACACAGGTAGGATTCAACCAAGGAGAATCAGCTTGTAATCTGTTGCTCTTAAATATAGGAGAGGTCAGGTGCAGTGGCTCACACCTGTAATCTCAGCACTTTAGGAGGCTAATGGGAGGATTGCTTGAGTCCAGAAGTTCAAGACCAGCCTACAAAGCCAAAAATTAGTTGGATGTGGTAGAATGGGCCTGTAGTCCCAGCTACTTAGGAAGCTGAGGTGGAAGGTTCACCTGAGCCCAGAAGGTCCAGGCTGCAGTGAGCCATGGTCACACCACTCACTGCACTCCAGCCTGGGCAACAGAGTGAGACTCTGATTATTTAGTGTGTGTGTGTGTGTGTGTGTGTGTGTGTGTGTGTGTGTGTGTGTATCGTATGAGAGAGAAAGAGGATAAGGTATTTTCCAACTTGGCCTAATAGTATTTAAAGGAATTTGAGGTCAGTGGTGCACGCCAGGGCTTTGGGAAGGCTCAAGTGTCTCTGCCAGGCATAGCTTGTTTTTCTGTTTGTTTCTTCACTTGCTTGTCTCCTTCCACCCCTACCCCACAGCTGGGGATATGAGCCTGGAATACTGGGCAGGAAGGCTTTCTCGAGCCCGTCCCTAGTGTCATACCAATCTGTGACAATGGACCTTCCTAGACCGAGTTTCAGGCCATGGAGTGCCAGCACTGCTCAGCTGTCTCAGACAGAGGAGGGTCCTGAGGAGCCAGGAAGAACCTGGCCGTTGAGTTTCACGCCCTGGTGCAGGTCATCAGCAGTCACTGTGTCAAGAGCTGCAGTGACAGAGTGCACTTGAGGGGGAACGGTGTGGTACATCACAAACCATTACTCGCAGTACTGTTTGAGACCTAGCTATGCTGATGGAGAAGTATTGACCTACGTTCTATGCTTCATGGCCATGGCTTCCTAGTGAGTAAGCTTTTTGCCTTCCTGGGCAGTGAGTACGGCTTTTTATAAAAGGTCAGAACTGTAAACTAAAAAAATAAATAAACAAACACAGGCCAGAGGGGTGAGCAGAAGTGCAGCATTCCCCTTGAGAGACTGATCAGAGGCCATGAGTGTGTGTTGCTGGTTACTGCTCTCCCTCCCGGGAGCCCAAGGCCATGTGGCATATGGGGAGGGGTGACATCCGCAGGGCTGCCTGGGGCCCGCTAAGGTCCACACTTGGAGCACCTGTGTAATCTACATTCCAGCTTCTTTAAACATCTTTCAGCTTGTTTCCTAGATTTTGTTCCCATCGCATTAGCTTGGTTACTGAGAGCACTTTTAAAACAACTGCGAGAGCTTGGGCAGAATGCCACCAGATAGATGATGGTGTCAAAAAGATGCAGAGAATTTTATGGCAACTTCCATGCTGCATTTTAAGTAGAATATTCAGATCTTACTTCAGGTAGAGGTTCCGTCACATAATGCTTTTTTGCTGAGGCTTGTAAGTGTGAGCGTTACAATGCTTCCCCGGAGCCAAGTGCTTGGGAAGAGATGCGCCGGGACGGAAGGGCTGGCGTCCGCACCTGAGCAGTTCTGGGGCAGCCAGTCTCTGCAGAGAGGGGGTCAGCGGGCATCGGTGCCACTTGGAAATTTCTCTTAGCTCCATGCATATCCTCCCTCCCAGCCCCAGAACCTGAGGCTCTCCTCCGCACCCTTTTCTCCATGTCAGCCCCATGCAGACTTGCCTGGCCTCACAGAGTCCTCTCCTCCCACCTCCTGGCAGCAGTCGGATTCAACTGAGTTCAGCGGGGACTCATTCCCAGATGGACCTCGCGTGAGGGTTTGTCCTTTCAGGAGCAGGTGCCTCTCAGTGGTATTGCACACCATGCAGGCTCTTAAGTTGTTCTGCCTACACCCTGCTCTGTTTTCTAGAAAGAGTTCTCTAAATGTGGTATTTTGAATCTTTCCCCAGAAATCAAAAGTCATTCAGTCTGATGAAAAGAGGAATAAGAACAAATGAGCATTTACTACTCTGCCACTGCATGAGTATTCATCTGATAATTAGATGGAAAGTTTTCCCAATTTAGATGGCTGATTCTAGAATCTTGGCACACAGAATGAGCAGTGAGTGAAGCTCTGAGGAGCCAGGAAAGTTGCAGGTGGTTGGAAAGTTGCAGGTGGTTGGAAATGCTCTCAAGTATAGGCCCGGCCAGAGCAGTTCATCTTCCTATGTGACAAAATGAAGCAGAGTCTTGACTGCGGTGCTCACGGATGGCGTGTCTGTGGCGTTTAGGCTGTACTGTGTTTGTATCCTGGGCCCCTGGTTCACAGACATAAATGATATATTTTTTCATTTGTTGCATAAGTGACGTGCCTCTGTGGAGCTTCTGCTCTGTGCCTCTGGGCCCTGCTGCGACTCTTTCCGGGAACGAAGCAGGAAGCTTCTTGAGAAACAGACCCCATGTGCCCGCTGTGCCAGTCAGCATCTCCCCTGAGTCTCCCACGCTGCGGAGACAAGCAGGACTCCTGTTCCCGTCCCCACTCCTGGGTCCTTGCTGCCTGCACTGAGGCTCATGGCCAGAGCGGAGAGGGTCTGCCTGTCCTAGAGTGGCACAGAGGCTGGGTAAACTGGCTCTGCAAACTCTTTCTGTAAATGGTCAGGTGATACATATTTTAGCCTCGCAGGCCACGCAGTGTCTGCCATTATGCTCACTTTTGCTGCTGCGGTCCCCAAGCATCCACAGAGGACACACGAACAACTGAGCACGGTGTGTTATTTACAGAAACAGACTTGGCTCATGGGCATGGCATGCCAGTTTCTCATTTAGTCCACGGCCTCTAGAAGCAGATCCTGGTTTTGCCACTTGTCAGCCACGTGGCCTCTCTGTGCTTTTGTGTTCTTGGCTGTACATGGGAATAATAGCAGTATTTATTTCACAGTATTTGTTTATTTGTTTGTTGTTTTTTTAGAAAGCAGGATTGATTGAGAGGCCAGAAAAGCTCCTTCAGTGGGAGAGACCTGAGAGGGCTGCCCGATTGTATCGTTTTAAAGATTAAATGAAGTGTCCAGTAGAAAAGTCCAAAAAGGATACTAACTCTACAAATGCTAGCTCTTGTCATAAACAACGTCGTTATCAAATATTTCACTGTAAACATGAAATGGGTTATAGAGAGCATTTTTTTTTAACTTCTGACGTTTCTCTGAAAAAGAATGACTTTTCATGTTGAAATCATGCTCCAAATAGTAGGGTATGCTCTATGTCCTACAGTCTACCCATATTATGAAATAAAAGTATATTGGTGAGAACCTTATCACCATTTATATTACTTCTATGGGAAAACATATCCTGATATATATTCATATGGATTTCTAAAACACAGTGTTTCTGTAAATTGGAGCCTTGGTATGCCTGGGAATGTATCAGCTAACCTCTGAGTTATGGTGTCAGTGGTTGTCTGGGAAGTAACAGTATGGTATTCTGTTTCATCTGAGAGTGTGGTCTCGCACTGAGAAGTCAACTTGCCCTGCCATATCTCCATTCTGTGGTTTGGTTTAGGGTCCTGAACATATTTGAAAGACACTTGATGTAAACCACACCAAAAATAAACAGAAAGATAATCATAATTGTAGTGACAGCTAACAATTCAGCAGAGACATGATTTAGATGAACAGAAATGTCACAGTTGTTTCTTACTGACTCAGTTCACATGGAAGTCCAGT